CGCAAAAGTCCGAAGAGCCTCCAAAAAAGAGCGCTCATCTCACACTCAAGAAGCACAAAACCCAATACGAAACGAAAGGAAATTACGCGCTCATCAGTCGTTGCTGCTGCTTCTTCCCGCTCTTCGTGTGTTTTTTACTTTTGCGAAAAGAATCAAAAGAGAGCGAGTGCAAAACGCGCGTAGAATTTTTTGAAGTGCGTTTAAACAAGAAAATAAAAGTATTAATTTAAAAACAAAAAGTGCAAAAGGCTATAAAAAGAGAGGGAAAAACTACAGTTAACTGTGTGAGAGCAATCAAGAGAGCGAGAAAAGAGAACCAAATAGCAAGTGCAAGTGGTTGAAACAACAAAAAAAACACATAAAGTACTTGAATTAAATAGCAAAATGGCAAAAACAATGTGAAAGTAATTCCTGCTATTTGGTTCACACACACTCAAGTAGTTAAACATTAGTTGTACACTTGTAATAGTTGTTGTTGTTGCGCGCAGTGAGTTCATCGCAAATAATAATACACACACATACTAGCAGAGAGAAAGAGAGGGAGAGAGATGGAGAGAAAAAGACAACGCCCCCTCTCCCTCACACTTACACTTGAAAAAAAAGACACTTAAAACGGGAAAAATATTAAAAATTTAATGTTGATCTCTTTTAGATCGAAATTAAAATGATCTTAATTCTGTTTAATTCTGTGTAGGGAAGAAATGTAGGTAGGCCTTGAAACCAGACATTATTCTGTGATAGTTTCACGCTGTTTAAATATCATTTTGATAATTTAATTTATAATTGAATTGTTTGTTAAAATAAATTTGTATATTTTTCGAAATACCAATTAAAATGCCTACATCTGGTTTACAATTTTATGAGAATAATTTAATTTTGATAACCGTATCACATCAAAACGTTTCTTTGGGTGTATCCGGCTAAACGCAATTAAAATGTGCGATTGTGTGTGTGCGTGTTAAAATAGCACCTTGTTTGTACATAAATTAGCCTTAGTCGCTGTTATTTATACTATACAGATATGCATAACACAATATATGCACATCGGTTGCGCCAGTGCATATATTTTGAAATTATAACAACAAATCAACGCCGCACTGCAGTTGCCCTCTCTTTTCTCCTCTTTCTAACCCGCTTACTCTCTGTTTTCGCTTTTCAAGTGCAAAAACGAATTTTCCGCTATTAGTTTGTGTGTGTTTTTTTTTTGTGTTTGCGGGTGGGGTCGCATAATTTGTTAAATTAATTTTCACTCTCCCTCTCGCATTTTATCCCCGTCCCCCCATAGTATTTCTTCTTCTTCGCCCGTGACGTAGTCCCTCGCGTGTGTGCCCCAAAAACAAAAGCAAACAAGAAAGGAAAGCAAACTTCGGGCGGAGCCGAAGTTGATATACCCTTGCAGAATATTCTGTAAATTATATTCTCCAAAATTATTTATATGATGCATTCTTAATACTCATAAAAAATCCCAACTTCCCAACTTTAAAAACACCAAAGTTATGGCATTTCCAATCGTTCAGTTATATGGCAGCTACAAGATATAGTCGGCCGATCCTTATGAAATTTGGTAGGTCGGATTGATTGGCGAAAAATTAAACCCATAGATAATCCCAACTTTCTAACTTTACAAACAACAAAGTTATGGCATTTCCGATCAATCAGTTATATGGCGGCTATAGGATATAGTCGCCCGATCCTTATGAAATTTGATAGTTCAGACTGATTGGCCAAAAATAAAACCCATAGAAAATTACAACTTCCTAACTTCAAAAACACCAAAGTTATGGCATTTCCGATCGTTCAGTTATATGACAGCTATACGATATAGTGGCCCGATCCGGCTCGTTCCGACTTATATACTACCTGCAATAGAAAGACAACTTTTGGGAAAGTTTCAAGCAGATAGCTTTAAAACTGAGGGACTAGTTTGCGTAGAAACGGACGGACGGACAGACGGACGGACAGACGGACGGACAGACGGACAGACGGACAGACGGACATGGCTAGATCGACTCTCCTGGTAATGCTGATCAAGAATATATATACTTTATAGGGTCGGAAATGTCTCCTTCACTGCGTTGCAAACTTTTGACTGAAATTATAATACCCTCTGCAAGGGTATAAAAACCAAAACTAATTGAAAAGCCGCTGCGCACAGTCGACAACCAGTGTTGCCATCACTCGTTGCTAAAACCAAAAACAAGCCAAAAATAAGCTTTTCAAAGATGCTAAAATATAAACATATGTTCACATATGTTTTTCCATTGCGCCAATATTTTGGTTATTTTGCAAGTTTCATATGTTTGAAGAAAAGACAAAAAAGCGAAAAAATTATAAATACAGCAAGAATTTTCAACCATTCTATTTAAGAAAAAAAATAATATATTAACATTATCACATCTTCCAAAATATTAAAATACTATTTAATGATTATTAGTCAGAACTGTTAAATAAATTTAAATAAATCCTCCGTTTTGTTTTGGTTAAACTTATGTATTTATTTAATGGTTGGCCTAACGCTTTCTTTTGATGTGAGAGCCACAAATTTCTTATCAGTAGCCGTAAATTTTTGGCGATGAATGGAAAAAGATTAGACTTTTAGATGAATATGCTGAATCTAAAACAGCATGGCAAACAGCTGCTTAATTTAACTTTTGATATAGCTTTTTTGTAGCTAATTGAAGGCCAAATCGACATCACCAAAAAGATCGTTGGTGGCAAGCATAATTAATGCGTTCATCTTCGAGTTTGCTTTTCCTCAGCTGATGCTGATGCTGCTTCTTCTGCTTCTGTTTCCCATTTACAGCTCATGTTCCTCACCCTCTTCTTTTTTCTTCTCCATTATCCACATTATCCACACACTCCAACCTTCCACTTCAAAGTAATAGCAACAAGTTTTCCCATATTTTTCAGTTCTTTAATTTGCTGGGGCACTTAAATCGCGTTTATGAGTTAGTGTTAAACCTTTAAACTTTTTCTATTTCTACTTAACAAGCTTTGTCTCGGAAAAAAAACGTTTTAATACTGCTTTGAGCCAAAAGAAGCTGGAAACGTCTTTTGTATTTGTCCGAAACTTGTTTTTTCGAGCTTGTAACACTCGTGTTTTATTGATGGTCTTGTTCTTCTTTCAGTTGGTACAGGTGACGCCCGATACAGAGTACATTTTAAAAGCAAGCATGTTCACTAAATATAAATAGTATATTGAGTTAAAAGAGCTTTGGTACCCACTATCATCAGAAAGATAGTTTTTCTTTAATATTTCAAACACAAAACTAATTGTATCCCATATTAACCTTGTTATAATTTTAAACTAACCCGTGTCTAAGCCTTCAAAAGGTATGAGGTATTCTTTACTGATATACACTTAAATGGCAACAAAAAGGGTTTAAATATTAGATATTTTTATGATGAAAAATGTAGGGCAAATGTGGTTTTATTCTTAATTAATGAAAATAAATTATTCCTAGAATAGTTCACATTTCAGAGCGTGCCCAGTATCATTTTTTTTTTCCATATCAATTTCGGCACATGACGTAATCTTCACATGTTCAACAGCAAAAAAAAAAAAAAAAAAAAAAAAAAAAAAGTAATAACAACAGCAAGCACACATTGAGTTATGAAGTGTATTTGAAATGTAAACAGATAAAAAGCTGTGTTGGGGGAGGTGGGGGATTTTATATAGTGAACGGGTTGTCTGATTCGATTGTAGGTTGTTTATTTTTTCGCTACTTCTTCTGGTTCTCATTTTTCGACAGGTTTCTCTAATGGTTTTCCCACTGGAGTTCAAAGTTCTGAGACAATAAAAAGACTGGCAAAATGTGGGAAGTGAATGTTCCATGGGCTATTGGATAATGGAGATAGAGATCTTACAAGTTAAATCTCCCATTCCCATTCCATGCCACCAGTTCCCCCTCTAGTTCATACAGTGCGTTTCGGCTCAGTAAATCTCAGGCTTTTCGCACAACCAACCAGCCATAAATGAAGTCATCGACATAAACCAGTTATAAAGATAAAAAAAGTAACCCGTCCAGCAAATTGTGCTATAAAACTAAATTTATTTCTGAACTGATTTATCAAAAGGCAGGTTTTCAATAAATTAAAAAAAATCGCAGGAGTAAAATAACAAATTTAATATTGTTCCATTTATATTCATAAGTCTTACACAGACACAGATTTCTGTGGAGTTTTGTTCCTTTTGATATTTTATAATTTAAACATTTTAAAACCGTTTGAATACTTTAGGTTTTGATTTCCTATCAACAACTCAAAAAAGATTTATATTTCTGGATTAAATAAGTTTAAAAATGGAAAACATTGATTGTATTTCTGGAACACGAACATTTTCCAAATACGTTTTAAAAATGCCTTCGAAAGGGAAACTAATCCTAAAATAACGTGAAAGATCCCCCAAATGCTCCAAAACCAAAAACTGGAACACTTTCCCTGTATCGATGGGTAAAAATATTTTCGAAGCTTTCGATTTAATTTATTTGATCCAGTGACCTTTTTAAATTTATGTAAGCGTCAGTAGACAGATTTCCTTCAGTTTTTGTTGCTAGCAATATGGAATACTACAGACATGAGGATTATTTGGAGGAGGGGGAAACTGCAGAGGATTCGTGGATGAGGAACGCCATTTCGGACGCAGATAAACGCAGGATTGTAGCGTAAACGAGCTTCTATTTCGATTCCATTTAGGAATTAACATTGAACCTGGTCAAATAGACTGGCCAAATTGAGAAAATTGTATTACGCTGACACTTTCAATCAATTGAATCAGATATTTTGCTGAAAGCCAATTGGCAAATGACTTAATTTAATTGACATTGAGGTGGCTCCTCAGTAGATGACGCACTTGCTTAGCTATTTTAAGGTCACATGCGCCGATGCGTGATTTTAGTGCTCGTGTTCATCCCACCCCCTCGATATAAAACACACACACTGCACCTTATAATATGTGGCAATTCTCTAATTCGATTTGTGTGTGCTCTGCTCGTTTCCAGATCGGAGCGTTCGATAGTGCGCGTTTCCATTTACCAAAGCAGCCAGCCGCAGCAGATCTGTCCACCGGCGGATTACCTGCTGGACGCCCTAGACGGAGGCTATAACTACAACTGCAACCTCGACTACACGACGATGGCCACGACGGCGGCGGGGATCCAGCAGCAGCAGGTGATCGGCCTGGGAGCGGCCTACGATCGACAGCAGAGGTGGGTACCAATGCGCTATATATATATATATATATATATTATCGTGACCGATTCATGGTAATTTTACTCCACTGCAGCACCGACTCCGGCTGGGACAATCCCTTTCGTCCAGGCGGCGATCTGTCCAGAGAGGCTGATGAAATTGTCAACATGATCAGAGGTGAGTCTGAGATAGGTGAATCGAAGCTATCGTGTAATGTGTGGGTGTTACTTTGTCTATTAACAAAAATGGTAATTTTTCCCATTTTCACGATATAATGCCATTATTTTTGTTGACATTTCAAGGTCTCGTTTATATGCTGTCCATCTATAATTAAATTAATTTGAATCAGGCAATATGCAATTGTTGATTTTTTTTTTGGAAGTAATATTAAATATAATTATTTGCTGGTACATACAAACATATGTATTAAGATCGAACATATTAAAGACTTAAAAAAATAGGCGTTTGGTTTACCTTGAGTTCTTTAAAGTTTCATAAAAAATATAACAAAAATGTTAAAGATCAAAAATAAGTTGGAAGAAAATGGTAACGATATGATATTTTTATGATATATTGCGTTGATATTTATTAAATAAAAAATGACTAAGATGATCATACAAACGATAATAATTTTGGCAAGTAAATATATATGGAGCATATTAAACCAGAGAAAGGACAGGTTGTCAAGGTTTTTGGTCGTTTAATAATCGTCACATATACTGTCGGAATACAATTTCAAAGTTGGACTTGGGTTTATTACACAAGCTTTATTATCCTATTATCAGTGACAGATTTCTGTAATAGTGAGTGGAAGGTTTAATGAAATATTTCAGTGAGTATGTATTTGTTATGTGTAGAGTATGATTTTTTTAAAGCCAATAGCCTCTTCTCAGTTATTGATTCTAGTTAAATGAATGGCCAAAATCAATATCAAGTGATCTTCCATTTATCTTGGTTGAGTAACATGTTTTAATATCACAGCTGTCTTACCCATCAGTATTTACCGATTGAAGCACAACTCTGGGTCATTTGTTAGTTTCTCGGTCTTTAACCAAATACATTTCTATTTTAAAGGCGGCAAGCCCATTACACCCACAGAGGAGCGTACAATTGGCAACGGGAGCGCCCAGCATGCGGATGACAATTGCAACGGCGGAGCGGCGATTGGCGAGAGTGTAACCAAATCAAACGTGAGTTGCGATCTTTGGGTCTTTCGATATAAGTATGTAAACCCATCTAATTAAATCTCTGTGTCTTGCGCAGCTCTCGCAGAATCTAGCAACAGCACAAAATGGTACAAATTCCCATGCCTCTGCCTCTGCCGACGCTGGCGCCGGAAAAGCAGCGACGGCGACCGAGCTGAGCGGCGGAAACAACGGGGTCACCTCGCTGGGACAGGTGTCCAAACAGGTGGTTCCGGGACCGACGTCCGCTAGTCATGTGGTCATCGACGAGAAGAAGAACAAGAAGAAGGGCTGCTGCGTCCTGCAATAATCAGCTCTGTGTTCTGTTTGCGGGGATATCTGGACACGGGGGACAACAAATGGAGGGGGCGGGCATTTTCCGGCTAGCCGTGTTTTTTGATGTTAATGTTTTTTTGGGGAAAATGAAGAGCCGAGCTGTTGATATTTTTCATGCCGCATAAATCGCTTTGCTTAGCTTTGCAAGACGAGACGACAACAACAAAACCAGATAAAAACACACAAGGATAAACTAGAAAAACATAAACAAAAAACCAAGCTCTCTGACCAACAGCAGCAGATTATGAAGAAAAAAAAGTGTAGCAGCAGCAGCAGCAGCCACAGTGAGAGCCAAAATTTAAGCACCCCAGCAGCTGTTGCTTTAGTTTCAAAACAAAAACCGTGAAAATCCAAAACATGAATTGTAAATCTAAAGTAAACACTTATATATATATATATATTTGTTAGTCTGGAACAATTCAACCTTATTATATATACATACTATTTTTTTTTCCTTTTTCTGTAATGTGACTTGACCTTCATGTATGTTATATAAAAGCATATATGTGAATTTAATTTTTTTTGTAATTATAAAATTTAGTGCGGCTTTTTAAAAAATGATGAGGATTTAGGGACGACTAAAAAGTTATAACAAAAGAACAAAAAAATAAATAAAAACGAAAAACGTTTTGCTTGCATGCAAATAATGGATACAAAATCGAAAAAAGAAAGCAAAAAAATTTAACATAAAGAATAATGTATTTATTTTTATTTATATGACGATGATGAAGCAGATGAAAGTAAATTAAATGTTAAACCTTAAAACAAATATATACACATACACGTACATATACAAAAACACACACACACACATACGCATATATACTATACGATATATGAGATGAAATGTATGACGCAATAAAGCAAACGAAATGAACCGGAAACAGTAGAAAGAAATTAAAGAAATCCCAATTTTCTAAGACTAAATAATGAACAATTATTTTTTATCATTATATACATGAGACAGAAAATTGAAAACCGGGTGCGCTGTTTTTTGCCCACTGTAGCGGCTGATCAAAGACGAGCGGTGCTGAAAAAAATAGGGTGAAAATGGTAGAAAGAGGGCTTAGTTCTTTGAGAAAAATAGAATGGCTTTGAAGAAACCGAAACCCCAAGACAGAAGCTTAGAAATGAGGCCAGAGAAAGTATATAAAAAAAATGGAAGAACCACCGTTTTTCAGCTTAGTTAAGCACAACACAAACCCCTACACAACACCACCTCCTAACCCTTTCTCCAACCCCTTTCACTCAGTATTTTTTCTCAGTTGAAAACAAATCAAAAGCAGAGAAATGAAAGCAAACAAATATGCAAACACAATAAGCAGGTAAATCGAGCAAAGCGAGGTACAAGAAAGTTTACACAGAGAGAAAAAGCAGCAACCAAATAGAAAAGAAAGTAATGAGAACACCGAAATGGACCGCCACACCCACAAATAACACACTCACACACTCTCGAACACACACCCACACACCTACAGCCTAAGCATCAATGTGCTGCATTTGATAAACGTAAAGAAAAAATAAATTAAATATATATATACACAGATATATGAAATAGCAATATTGTTTCAACTGAAAATAAGCAAATCAACAAAAGGCAAATTCCAAAATCCGCTAATAAAAAAAAACCAATCAGTAAACTAAATCAATTTGTCGGAGAGGAAAGGGAAAAACAGCAGCCAGTACAGCAATAAAATCAATATTTAATATTGTAAATTTCCGATTCCAAAAAGAAAGCAAAACCTACAAAAAAAACCAACAAAATGTTAAGTTATTGTATAAAAAAATCCTAAATAAAAAATGAAAGCAAAAATGAAAATAAATATGATTTATTTTAGCATAACTTTCAGGGCTGCAAAAGTAAAGTCCACTTCTAGGCTTTTCTTTAAATATATATTTGGGACATCATTCGCGTGGGATCCAGCGAATGAAAGAGATGGCTATGGTATTGATTGATGAATGCTTTTAGTTTATTAGATCGACGGATAATTGATTGCAATTGTTTAAGGCAAACAAATCGCTTAATGCTTCCGCATCGTCCAAATTAAGTATTCCAATCGATGAACAGCGAAACGAGGAACTCCGAAGAACCTTTCACCTCATCGCCTCCAATCGATTCAATTAGGCAAAACAAATCTATAGAAATCGAAATCGTTGCTAGTTAATTAATCCCATGACGCAACTGCATAATAAAATTACCAATGTGCGTTCTTAGCTTATTGAAACTGTGGATACTCTGTTGTTTGTTATTCGTGCGAAGGAAATTTGTTTGGGGATTTGTATGTGTTTATGTTTATGTATATGTTTATTTTATGTCCATTATTTGAAAAAGAGATATTGCAAAAGGACGTCTTAGTTTAAAATGGCAAGCTCTTAAATTTAATTAGTTTTTAATTATTAATATAGTATAGTTTAAGCTTGTAATTGGAAGGAATATTTATTTTTTGTTGTTTTTAGATTAAAAAAATAAGGATATAAAATTTAATCGGTATTTTATTGTTTTCATAGCTATAAATTAAACAACATTAAGTTTGGGTTGGAGAACTTAGGGTTTAAACTGTAATTAAGTCTGCAAAACAGATAACTCCTTTTTTAACACAATAGCAAGAAAAGATAATGTATTTTACTTTAAATATAATTTATAAGGATCGATACCATATATTGATTTATGTAGTCGCTTTGAACACTTTGATTTAATTCAAAACTTTATTCAGATATTTCCTAAAAGTTAACGATTGTTGGCGAGTATAAATATTATAAACTCTGTATTTGTTTCATAATTTCATTGGTGAGTTAGTTTTTAAATATTCCGGGTAGGGTCAACGATTTCCCAAGTTAACCAGCAAGTTTTGAGTTCTCCCACGTCACGCAGTTTTTAAAGATGAAAAACCAGAATTGAGTTTTGTTCTTTTAAATTTTTTTTTTATCAATTCGGAGTTGATTTAATTTATGAACTATACTCGGAAAGACATTTATAGCAATTTATCTGGATTTGGTTTATGGCTTTCGGCCATTCCGATTCACATTCGCATTCGGATTCCAATGGAAGATTAATTGGCAACCGCGGAGCTGTCAATTTTTAAATTGTTGCGCCTAAGTAAGCGGAAATGTCTCTGGCTCTCGATCACGATTCCATCGAATTGGATCCAAGACCTGCGCTTTGGATTGGATTTGGATATCGATGATGTAGCTGGGTGATGCGCGTATAGAATAGTGATGGCGGTGATGCTACCCAAGGCACCCACTCAGAAATGGAGAAGGGGAACTGGATTTTGGCCATCTATCTAATGAAAGTCAGTCATCGTTAATGGTCAAACGTGTTTTCTTCTCCATGGGCATATGGCCTGACACCCACAGTGGCGCTGGTAAGTCTGCGGACCTTTTAAGTTTTTAGGGGTATATAAAGATTAAATAAATGTAAATAAATATATTTTGAAATATAGATTTATAGATTAAGAATTGGGAAAGTTAAAGCTTAGTTATTCTTTCTGTTTTTAATGCATATTAAAGGTATCACCTGCTTATTACTTTTCTTTAAGACTATTTTGGAAGCATCAATCCCATTTTGTGCTTCTTTCAATGGGTTTTTTTTTTATAATTTTGTAAAATTAAAAATAAACCTACTTTTTGGTTGTAACTGCATCAAGTCTTTGCTACAATTGTTAGTTTCTGATGCTTATCTTAGATTTTATATTATTTTTATTAAGTTTAAATTAATTAAAGTTATTTTTTCAACTAGCCTAATTATACCCTTGCAGAGGGTATTATAATTTCAGTCAAAAGTTTGCAACGCAGTGAAGGAGACATTTCCGACCCTATAAAGTATATATATTCTTGATCAGCATCACCAGGAGAGTCGATCTAGCCATGTCCGTCTGTCCGTCTGTCCGTCTGTCCGTCCGTCTGTCCGTCTGTCCGTCCGTCCGTTTCTACGCAAACTAGTCCCTCAGTTTTAAAGCTATCTGCTTGAAACTTTCCCAAAAGTTGTCTTTCTATTGCAGGTAGTATATAAGTCGGAACGAGCCGGATCGGGCCACTATATCATATAGCTGCCATATAACTGAACGATCGGAAATGCCATAACTTTGGTGTTTTTAAAGTTAGGAAGTTGGGATTTTCTATGAGTCTTATTTTTGGCCAATCAATGCGACCTACCAAATTTCATAAGGATCGGCCGACTATATCCTATAGCTGCCATATAACTGAACGATTGGAAATGCCATAACTTTGGTGTTTTTAAAGTTAGGAAGTTGCGACTTTTTATGAGTATTAAGAATACATCATATGAATAATTTTGAAGAATATAATTTACAGAATATTCTGCAAGGGTATATCAACTTCGGCTCCGTCCGAAGTTAGCTTTCCTTTCTTGTTTTAATTTAACTTAAAGTAGATTAAGGTGTATATTTGAATATGTGAATATTTTTATAGGCTTAGAGTAAGAGAAAAAATGTTTCAAACACAATCACAAGTTTAATATCATAAAGGTCATAGGTTTGTGAACGAACTTAAATCAGTCAAATTTATGTTGATAATGCAAAGATGCATACATTTCGCTAGAACTGTGCATTCAAATCTTATTCTCCCCTCCCCCTTTGACCACCCAATAAACGCACCTAATTTGCGAGTGCGATTCTCGTGCAGGTGCAAATTATGATGGGACGCAAAACAACCGATAGAAACAACAAAAGCCACAATAATTTATGGCAAAAAAGTGGGAAATAAGCTAAATAAGCAGGAGAAGAATAAGAAGCTGGAGGTAAAGAAGAAGTAGAAGCTGCCACTGGCGCTGTTACTGTGGGCCATTAAAATGCGACATGTGTAAGGCGGCAAAAAGTCGCGACGCAGGAGATAAAGATAAAAATCGGTTAGTTAGGCAATAGCACATCGGTGGGCAGAAACAAAAAACACAAAAACAATAATCGAAAAAAAGCTGCGCATGCGCCGCACGCGTCGCCACACAAATACACACAGATGCCAGCTTACGTATACGTAATATTGTTTACTGTATACGTATACGTAATATTGGCGCATGTATGTCTAACTGTACAAACGCGCACGCGCTGTCGCTCTCACACTGTCCCGCTCCCTCTCACTGCGCGGAGTTGCCGAAGATTGGGCTACTTCTTAGCTAGTTTCAGCTACTTCTTAGCTAGACTTAAAACTTTATATGTTTTTTGTGGCTTCACAGTCTTAGAATATTGTTAAAAGGATATTTTTTAAATTTAAATAACTTAAAGGTCAATTAAACGCATTTCTGTATGAAATCATACGGATGATTATTAAAAATCATATAAACAAAGCAATTCGTATATATTTTTAAAAATGTTGATTATAAAAAAAATGATTTTCCTATTTGGGTGTCTGTTTTTCTCCTACACATGCATGTCATTTTTAACAGCTTGACATCTTATTTTGTATCATGTTAATAATACGATTTATGTTTAGTTCAATTTTATGGTTTACCCCGGGTTTTTATTACTCGGCAGTTTGAATAATTTTTATGTGGTTGTCAGCTTTTAAAAAACTAATTAGACAGCTTAATATCTAATTAATAATGTAAAAATATAGCATTCTTTTGCGCAATGCAAATCAGTTAATAAAGCTGATATTTAACGATACCATTATATATATCTATTTCAACAGATGAAGCTTCTTTCTTTCTGGAGATTTTCAGCTATTCAGATTTTGGCAGCACTGGCGTTGTTCGATTGAGGGGCGGTTAAGTGTGTGTTTATAATGTTTATCCGGTGGAGTCGTGCTGTCTGCGCTGTAAGCGTTTGGAAGTAGAGCAAGTGTCTTCGTCGCCGCGTCTCGACTTTCTCACTCCACGGGGCGTTGTCGAGTGGATGATAACATGGCAGAGCTATCGATCGATCGGAAGATGTGCCATGCCATGTGCGGGTTTATTCTGATCAGATTCTCATCTGACATATGGGGGTCCAGCAAGCCATATAACTCGAAAACGAAGATCTCCCTCTTTTCCTTTGTTTTTGTTCCCCTGGATTTCTTGATTTATGCGCGATTGGTGCCGAATGATTGATTCGTCTTTCAACTTAATTGAAAGCTTGGGCAGTTGGCTGATCATTAAGCAATTTAAGAACTTGTTGATTTAGAGATTAAGGCAATAAATGATTAATTGGAAAAACAAATAACATGGGAAGCAGGATGGAGGAGACTCATTATATAATATATATTTATTTCACGTAATCTCTGTAATATCTCAAACAAACTTGAAAGATTACGAATTACATATAAACAATTTCTTGACAAAACCCAAAGAACTAAAAAGTTAGTTTAGAATAAATTTAAAAAAAAGTTATTAAGCTTAAACCGAATGCAATTAATCCTAAGTGACCTCCTGACAACATAATTGACACAGTTCCCAATCAATTGTTGCCCTTGGAGCGGGCTTAGAGTGGACCAATCAACCTGAAACTGTTTTCCAATTTTATATTTGTATTTTTCTATGCTTTGTGCTATTTTTAGCCTTTGTGCGCACAAAATGCTAACAAGCCAAAGGTTGAAAAATCATCTTAAAAAACC